CCGCCCCGGGTGCTGAGCCCCACATGCCTTGCCCTGACCCGCCATCACCCTGGGCCTCGCCCCTGCTCTTGTCTCTGGCGGGCGGGCCTAAGGCAGGTGTCCCCAAGGTGCCTTCAGACGGGTGGCCCTGCAGACCTGGAGGCTCCTCCTCCCTGGGCTGTGGTCCCCCCTCCCCCGCCCCTCACAGGCTCTGACCACGTGGGATTTGTTTGTTGTGCTCTGTCCCCCTCCCTTGAGGCCTCAGCGTGGCCCGCTGTCCCCACGTGGCTCCTGCGTGGACTGTGCTGAACCCCAAATCCAAGACGAGTACAGTAAAGAGGGAACATACCCCCCAGGAGTTTCATTTCATTCTAGTTTCATAACCTCTAGGAGCTCCTGACAAGACAGGATCAGTGAAGGAACAGAGGCCTTTCCTGACCTGTCACTCTCGCCACTGAATGTCCCCATGCGGCCTGCTCCCTGTGGGGTCCTTGGCACTGAGGTGGGCAGTCATTCCTCAGACCAGCAGGCGGGTGTGTGATCTGTGCACCAGCGACCCCTCGGAGAGTCATTTCTGTAAGACGAGTACAGGGCAAACGGCAAGGGGCCCGAGGGGCTCTGGATGGGGTGCGTTTGGGGGGTCACGGGGGCCTGGTCTTGGCGCTGGCAGGAATTGACGATTGGCGTGTCCCAGGCATCTCAGCCCTCCTGAGGGGTGTGGCCCGCGGGCTGTCACCACCCACTTTCCTTCGAGGGCCTGTCCTGGAACTCACTCAGCTGCACTACGCGCCCAGGAAACGCGGCCTGTGATGCCCTGGGGAGGGAATGGAAGGCACTGCGCTCCTCTCCTGGCAACGCTGGGGCCTCTGGGGGGCAGCCTCCCGGGGCACCCTCCCCTGCCCTGGGCTGGGTCCTAGATGCAGTGGAGGTGTGAGACGCAGAGCTGGCTCCCAGACAGAGGGTGTGGGGGGCGAGGGGGGTGCTGTGGACACGGTTTGCTTTTAGAGAGAAGCAGCAGGAGCGCTAGGCCTCTGGGTGCAGAGTCGGCGTGCGGGCTGCTGGGAGCCAGCGAGCGCCCTTGTGTGCGCTTCCATCAGCCTTGGTGGGAGCGCATGATCTCCAGGCCCAGACTCTCCCAGGGACCTTCGATAGGAAAGGCACTGGGGGCGCTCGCTGGGGGAGGTGCTCTCCCAGGGGCGCTGTGAGCTAGGCGGGTGGGGTGCTGCCTGGGCCCCTGCCTGGTGCCGTCTGGTCTGCGCAGGAGAGACCCCCATGTCATGCGGTGTCCGGACGTCAAGTGGTCCCTGGCGGCCGCTATAAGCACAGTTGCCAGAACTCGCTGTGACACGCTGGGGATTCCTTTCCGTGTTCCGCCCAGTTCTTCAGGGCCCAGGGCTGGGGTCTGTGACGTCCCCTGCGCGGCTGAGGGGGCCTGTGGGCCCCGGTTTCCCCCCCAGCAGCCAGACCTTCATCGTGGGTCCTGCCTCCCGTTCACCTGGGCTCTGCTAGCACTGTGGCCCCTCCAGGCCTGCACCCACACCCCCGGGGGGGCAAGCAGCGGTGCGGCTGTCGAGGGCTCTGAACACGGGGGGTCGGGCCGTCTGGCTGTGGGCCGTCTCTCCGTGCGTGGTCTCCTGCGGTCTTCTTGGGAGTCGTCACTCTTGGAGCCCCCAGGCTCCACCGGGCTCCACACTCAGGTATGTCCCTGGGAGCCGATGCCTCCCCATCACTTCACCCGTCCAGGGCCAGGTCTCCGGGCTTCTGGTGGTTAATCTGTTGGGTGCTTGGTCTCGGGGCGTTTTTGCGCGTGAGCTGTTTCTCGTGGAGACGTTTGAAGGGTATCAGCACAGAGGCTCCAAGGCACTGGACATCCAGGCTTCAGCTTTTACCCCGTGAACAGCGCTCACGGCGGACAGGCCTTGCTGCGGCAGTCCTGGTCCTGGGGAAGGGGTCATGGACACACGGACCAGAGCGTGTGAGGCCCCCAGCCCCAGCGAGGATGCGAGGCCTGCTTTCAGGGCAGAGACGCACTCGGGCCTCCACAGAGCCCCCCGTTTGCTGAGCGTCCTGCTGCTGAGAGCGCAGGCCCTGGGAGGGGCCCGCAGGGTGAATATCCCGCCGCCGCGGACCCTCGTCCTGTGGGCAGGTGGCGCCCAGCTCTGACTGCCGTGCTCTCCGCAGGTGTACATCGGGGAGCTGCCTCAGGACTTCCTGCGCATCACGCCCACGCAGCAGCAGCAGCAGATCCAGCTGGACGCACAGGCTGCACAGCAGCTGCAGTACGGAGGGGCACTGGGCACCGTGGGCCGCCTTAGCATCACCGTGGTGCAGGTGGGTGTGGCTGCCTGTGGGGGGGGAGGGGGCCAGAGCGGGCGGGGCGGGGCCTTCGCTGTCATAGCATGTTGCCACATGGACGGATGGGGCTTCCTCTGATCCCGTTTTTCTGGAAACACATAACCTGGTGGAGAGAACGATGGATGTGAAGATACTGACGATCGCCCGGCTTTCGCCAGGAAGAGTTAGAGAAGGGGCCTGGAGCGCCGCTCGCCCTGCCGGTGCCGGGGAAGGGGCGGCACGGCTGCTGCCCGGTCATCCCGGCCCCCGGGAGAACCAGATGTGCTGTCAGGACAGAAAGGGCGCTGCCACGTTGCTCTGATGGGCTGCAGGAGGCAGAGACGTCTGTCTGTCCGTCCATTTGTCCGCAGCAGACACCAGGGCCGTGCCTGGCGGGTCGTTGTGCCCAGTAAGTTTCAGGGTGGCCTTCCTCAGACACTCGTGTGCCTACAGCACAGCCCATTCGATGTCTCAGGGGAGCCACTTGGAAGTGGGCAGGCCAGACCTCCGTGTCCCCTCCGTGGTGCAGGGGGCGCAGGGGGAGAGCACGGTGGCAGATGGGCCTCTGCAGAGGGCAGCAGCCATGAGCAGAGCACGGCCTTGGGGCCAGTCGGGGTCCAGGTGAAGGAAGGCGCCTCCCGCACTCACGGGCAGCTGGCCTTGCTCAGACCACGAGCATCGGATTATTCAGGTGGAAAAGCCTTAGTGGCCAGACAAAGACAAAACAGCTGCCTTGAAGCTATCGAAAATCAAGCCTGTTTCAGACTTTGCTGCTACATGTTTTCCAGAAAATACCAGGGCGGCTTCTAGGAGTTTTGGGGGGAAAATCTGCTGTCCTGAGAACTGCTCTAGTGAGGACGACAGCGTGTGAGGGCTGAGGCCCTCTCCCGGGCGCTTTCGAGAAGACATTGGCTGTGCGATCCGTGTTTGCTCTTGCAGAGGAGCAGGAAGTCAGCGGGTGAGGAGGGCGGGGCAGGGTCGCCCTGAGGGCCAGGGTACAGTGCGCCGATGGCGAGCTTTGGGGGCAGGTGTGGAGTGGCCCAGATATTATCATGGAAAGTACAGCTTGAACAGGAATCACCACCCTGTGTGGGGGGCTGCTTCAGGGCCAGGCCCTCCTGGTGCTGCCAGCTGGGGGTCCTGCGGCCTTGGGGCTCGGCTCTGAGTGGGCACCATGTCCTGAGCTGGAGTTCAGGGCTCCCTCGGGGTCTGTGTCGGGAAGATGTGGGCGAGGCTGGAAGGCCCTGCGCTTGGTGCTCCTGGGGGAGAACCAGCCGACTTCGGGGCGCACCCACGTGGGGGCAGGCAGGTGTGTGACCCCAAGGCCTGTTGCCAGCGCCCAGGGGATGGAGGAGCCTCGACCAAAATGGGGGAAATTACAGGAGGAATAGGCCGGGAAGGAAACTCGCAGGTCGGTGTCGGACATGTTAAGTCGAGGATGTTTTAAAGGCAGGGGGCTGAGGCCGGGAGGCTGTGGACTTCAGGGGAGAGGTCCAGCAGTGACACAAGGCGGGCGTCCTGAGGGGCTCAGGCTGGTCCTGCACGGAGGGGTGGTGGCTCTGGGACGTGCGGTCGTGGGCGGCCCCGGCCAGAGCTCTGGGGAAGTCGGCACAAGAGTGGGGGATGCGGGGGGCAAGGAGGCTCGCAGACAGAATAGGGGCTTGTGCGGAGCCTTCCAGAGGGGAGAAGAGAGAGGGTGTCAGTGCAGACAGCAGGGCTTTGGGGAATTTTTTGCTGTTTTTTAAAAAATCGACCTGACTGAACACGATTTACATATGTTAAAATGCACTGATTTGAATTAGCCTGTGTTTCAATGACCTCTGATGAGCCTGTCCACTCCTGTGATGAAGAGAGCTTCCCCAGCAACACAGATAGTTCCCTCTGCCTGTCTGTGGGCCTGCCCTTGACCGCAGTGCTGACCAAGCTCAGCCCCCGTGGCACTTCCCAGAGTCTGTTGCCCAGCAGGGACGGGGGTCCCAGCCCCGGGCCGCTGTGAAGCGCGGGCTTCTGTGTGAGCGTTAGTGCCCGACTCCCAACTCCCGAGCTGGGTGGAGTCTGCTTTGGAGAAGCTGCCAGGCTGGTCCCTGCACGGCCGCACCGTGGCTTCTCCCAGCCGCCTGCAGGACTCCTGCGCTCTGGGGGTGGGCGGCTTGGCCCAGCGGGCTAGGTCTGAGCCCGTCCAGCAGCTCCTTGTGGCCTCATGGGGTCTGGCTTGTGTGTCGCCGAGGACCAATGGTGGGGAGCACCTTCTCACGCGCTATTGGCGTTGAGCTTGCTTCTTCAGATCTTCTGCCTGTTTTTCAATCGTACTGCATTCTCATTGCTGAGGTTTGTGAGTCCGTTATGTCCTGGACATGGGTTTGTGATCAGACTTGATGCCGCAGACGGGGCTGGTCTGTCCTCCTCACGGTCCCCAGGGAGCCGCCAGCTGTCCTTCCTGGGCCGTGCTTTTGCTGACCTTGCCTAGAAGATGACAAAGACTTCTTCTGGTTTTTCTTGTGCAAGTTTTATAGTTTTAGGTTTTACATTTAAGCCCATAATCCACTTTGAGTCAGCACTTCCTGACCAACAGCCTAACATGCTCATCGGTGTTCACGTTTCCGCCTACAAACGCATCCCAGACATCCCAAGCAGCGCGTCTGGCTTGAGGTGGGCCCGTGACCTATGTGAGATGTGGGTGGGCTCCGCCGGGATGCCCAGGATGAGTTGCCTGCACCCCCGGCCCCCACGCAGCGCTGGGCAGGATGGTCACTGCCGAGAGGCTCCTGCGTGGGAGGGGAGGCCGGGGAGCCAGCACGATCACTGTCCGAGGGCGCAGGGAAGGCCTTGGCTGGGCCCTGCTTCTCTGGGGTGGCCCCCGTCCCCCTGCTTCTCTTCTCGGTGGCTCTTGGCTCTGTCCTGGGATGGCCTGCCCTTTTCACCCTCCTCCTCCTCTGGGTGGGGATCCAGCCCCTGCCTAGCAGCAGCCGGTGTGTCCTGAGTGTCAGGCACGGCGCCGGGTGCCTTATCGCAGAAACACTGGACCCAGCCTGGACTTTCTCCTCCCTCCTGGGTCCCAGAGCACAGTCGTCCCTGGGTTTGGTTCTGGGACCCCACAGACACCACAATCCAAGGATGCTCAAGTCCCTTATATAAAACGGTGCAGTTTTGCACGTACCCTATACACATCCTCCCATGTGCTGAGTCATCACTGGATTACTCGTAACACCTAACGCACGGTAAATGCTGTGTGCGTGCAGTTGTAACACAGTGTAAAGCTATAAAAATCGTTGCTGGACGGGAGAGGCCACAGCAGTGAGAGGCCCACATACTGCAAAAAAAAAAAAAAAATCGTTGCTGGTGTGGCAAATTCAAGTTTTGCTTTTTGGAACTTTCTGGAATTTTTTTCCTAATATTTTTTATCTGTGGTTGCTTAAATCCACGGATACGGAGGGCTGACGGTTCAGTTACAGCCATGTTCTGGTGGGTCGGCACCCAGGAAACTCTGGAAGCCATGAGTGGAAGGGGCGGCCCACTTGGCTGAGCTGCGGCTCCCACTGTGACAGCCACTGCCCTGCCTCACGCGCTGGCTTTATTTCAGGCCAAGCTGGCAAAGAACTACGGCGTGACCCGCATGGACCCGTACTGCCGGCTGCGCCTGGGCTACGCGGTGTACGAGACGCCCACAGCCCACAACGGCGCCAAGAACCCGCGCTGGAACAAGGTCATCCAGTGCACGGTGCCCCCGGGTGTGGACTCCTTCTACCTGGAGATCTTCGACGAGGTGGGGGCCGCGCGGGGGCCACTCAGCCACTCCAGAACCTCAGGTTTCTTGTGGCTTTGTGACAGGCGTCCTGGTGTCCCCAGCATAGTGAAAAGCACGTTTCCCCTGCAGAGTCTTTAGAACTTGCATTCAGACACGTCACCACCCTGTGTCCAGCGTGTGGGCGTCACCCGACCAGGCAGGTCAGGCAGCTGCTATCTGCACGCAGCCCAGGTGTGACGTGGTCAGGGCCCGTGGCTGGGTGGCGTGAGTGGCAGGAACCTCCCGAGTGTCGCTGGGCCATCGGGTGCCCTGGGCTCTAACTCAGCCTGGCCCTCCGAGGGCCTGTCTGGGCGTGTCCCACCGCTCCTGAGGCCAGGTCGGCTGCCCCCTCGCCTGTGGTTGGCTGACGGGGCTGGGGGGGTGGGGGTGGGCAGCGGGGCTGGGAAGTGGCCACAGTCCCCAGGGTTCTGCCTTCCTCCCTTCCTCCCGGGTCCTCCCTCACACCCGGCCCCATCGCCTCTGGGGCCCTGGGGTGGAGGGGAGCGTGTGGTTTGTGGGGGAGCGCACGTCTGCAGGTGCCCGGTGGAGCCTCCCTCCCCCTGCGCCCACAGGAGGTGGAGAGAGCGGGGCGGTCCCGGGCCGTGCACACCCTGCCGGGAGGGCAGGGAGAGTGGGGCGGCCTCCCGGGCAGCCCTGGGGTCACTGCCATCTCCCGTCACCCCCCAGCGAGCCTTCTCCATGGACGACCGCATTGCCTGGACGCACGTGACAATCCCCGAGGCGCTGAGGCAGGGCAAGGTCGTGGACGAATGGTACAGCCTGAGCGGGCGGCAGGGCGACGACAAGGAGGGCATGATCAACCTGGTCCTGTCCTACACGGTGAGGCCGGCGGGCAAGCCCGTGGCCACTGGGGTGCCGTTCCCGGGCTTACCGGCATCCCCGCCCTTACTCCCAGGTGTTTCTGGCATGTGGACGCGGGGAGGGGGGGCAGGGGCCCCGGGTGGGACCGACTGCCCAGCCTCACGGCCGCCGCCTCTGGCACCTTGTCTCACCCGCTTTCCGGTGCTGGACTGATTCGCAGCAGGTCCCAACATCAGTGAGTTTACTCGTGAACGTGCCATTGTGCCTCTGTAACAGGCGTTTCTCCGTAGATGGAAAGCCATCGTTGTACTTAACTAAAGAATTATAAACAGAGAGAGGCGGTTTGACCCTGGAATTTAAGCTTAGGTTTCCTTTCTTGAGCGGGGTTCTCTGTTGGTCACGTCTCAGCCGTGGTTCAGC